AGAGCCTTCTTGATGTGATGTTGTTCTGCTTCCCTGGCTGCTGAATCTGTGGGGATGGTGTTCGCTCTGTGTTGTAGCGTTCTGATGACACCCAGTTTGTGCTCCAGTGGATGATGAGAGTTAAACATTAAATACTGATCCATATGTGTAGGTTTCCGGTACACATCAGCTTTTAGATGTTCCCCATTACTGATGGAAATTTCACAGTCTAAGAAGACTAACCTGCCACTTTTCATATCCTCCCTGGGAATTTGATGTGTCGGAATCTGGCTTTGACAGTTGCCAGGAGAATGGTACTTGTTTCAGATTATTCACCCAGATTATAAAGAACAACAAAATAAACTACCACAGCTATGCAGATGACACACAAATATATATCACAATGTCACCAGGAGACCGAGGCCCTGTACAGGCTCTTGGTAAATGCATTGAGGAAATCAATGACTGGTTGTGCCACAATTTTCTCCAACTAAACAAAAACAAAACTGAAGTATAGTCTTTGGCGCCAAAGAAAAACGATTACAGGTCACCAGAGAACTTCAATCTATACATCTAAAAACCACAAACCAGGCGAGAAATTTGGGTGTAGTGATGGATGCAGACCTAAACTTAGAAAAACACATTAAGACAATAACAAAGTCAGCTTACTATCACCTCAAGAATATATCAAGGATAAAAGATCTGATGTCTCAACAGGACCTGGAAAAACTAGTCCATGCATTCATCTTTAGTAGGCTTGATTACTGTAACAGCATCTTTACAGGTCTACCTGAAAAATCAGTCAGACAACTACAGCTCATTCAGAACTCTGCTGCTCGAGTCCTCACTAAGACCAAAAAAGTGGACCACATCAGTCCAGCTCTGAGATCTTTACACTGGCTGCCTGTCCGTCAGAGGATAGACTTTAAAGTTCTGATGCTGGCCTATAAAGCTCTGAATGGTTTAGGACCAAATACATCAGTTACCTCCTGACCCAGTATGAACCTTCCAGATCCCTCAGGTCATCTGGATCCGGTCTTTTATCAGTTCCCAGAGTCAGAACCAGACATGGAGAAGCTGCATTCAGCTTTTATGCTCCTTATATCTGGAACAAACTCCAGAAAGCCTCAGATCAGCTGAAACACTCAGTTTATTTAAATCCAGGTTGAAGACTCACCTATTCTCAGCTGCATTTGAATAAAGCACCAAATCCACACTTTAAGCTTAAATTTCAAAACTTACACTAACTACTGATCTTATCTATTTCTGATTTTATCTGTTTTGATTTTATATACTGGTTTGTTTGTTGTTTGTTTGTTTGTTTGTTTGTTTGTTTGTTTGTTTGTTGTTTGTTTGTTAAGTGGGTTTAGAGCTCTGGGTAGCTCCCCAGCTGGGTCTAGACTGGGTCTAGAGAGTATTTTAAATTCAGGGAATTTAAAATAGAAAGTAGCTCGTCCACAGAAGGACTGGTAGCTCCCCTTACGATAAGGGTTCAGATCGCGCGAACAGGTTGGGATTAGAGCTCTGGGTAGCTCCCCAACTGGGTCTAGACTGGGTCTAGAGAGTATTTTAAATTCAGAGAATTTAAAATAGAAAGTAGCTCGTCCACAGAAGGACTGGTAGCTCCCCTTACGATAAGGGTTCAGATCGCGCGAACAGGTGTGAAATGTGTGTGTTTAGTTAGTTTGTTTGTTTGCTTGTTTTAATCAATTTTAAATCATGCTTTTTATTTGTTTTTGTTTCTAATGTCTCTGTAAAGCACTTTGAATCACCTTGTTGTTGAATTGTGCTATACGAATAAATTTGCCTTGCCTTGCCTTGTCTGACTGACACAAACCAAGAGTAAAGTTTGGTGGAGGGGGTATTATGGTTTGGAGCATTTTCAGGAGTTGGGCTCGGTCCCCTAGTTTAAGTGAAAGGAACACTTGTGCTCCCAACAGGGAGATGGCCCTTTCCTGTTTCAACATGACTGCACACCAGTGCACAAAGCAAGACCCATAAAGTCATGGATGAGCAAGTCCAAGATGGAAGACCTTCTTCCAACCAAATAGAACACCTTTGGGCAGGCCTGGACTGGGAAGAAAATAAATAAAGTATCAGCCCTATACATTATTATACACGTCCTGCCAATTGTGAGATACCATTCTGAGATAATCAGCTGGCCAAAGGAGGAAATAGAAGCTACTGACATCAAGACAAGGAAGTTCCTTGCCATGGAGGGTTTCACCCAAAGTTCAGCAACCTCAGGCTAAGCTAAGTGGAAGGAAGGATGCACGGACAAATGTGTGTCAGAACAACTATCCAGGATGAAACAACAACAATCCATGAGTACATCAGGAGAGGTCCACTCTTGCTGCCCTTTTCTTGGCTTGTTCTAGCAATAGCCGCCTCTTGTGACTGCAAGGACTTTAGATTGGCTGCTGCTATGGTAAATGGCCTGCATTTGTAAAAAAAATCATTTGTATAAAAGCAACAAGTCCCTAAGGACTAAGTAAGTAAGTCCCTAAAGTGTACTGTAAAGCTCTATCAGTGCTGTAAAGCTCTATCAGTGCCCTGGGGCGCACTGACAGAGGCGAGGCTGCCGGACACTGGCGCCACCGGGCCCTCTGACCACCACCAGTAGGCAAACATGGGGTTAGTATCTTGCCCAAGGATATCTGGCATGCAGCCTGGGATCGAACCACCAACCTTCTGATTAGTGGCTGACCTGCTCTGCCACCTGAGCTACAGCCACCCCACACTAGTATTACTGTTGACACATTTTGCTGCATCTGTTTTTCAAGTTCTTTTTCTTTTTCTCACTTAGCTTTTCAGTCCCACATTTTTATTTATTTTTGTTTGCCCATCTGTATCAACGCTTCTTCCACATTTAATTATGTTCTACAAGGTGGAATATTGTTGAGGGACTGCAGCCCTTCAAGATAGCCTGTAGCCTGTCTTATATTGACAAAGCAAAGGGTCTCACTGCAGCCACTGTGGAGCTCTGCAGTAACTGGAAACACATGACCTCAACAGTAACCTGAAACCCATGACTTCCACACTAGGTAGAAACACGTCCAACATATTGCAATACGGGACACAACACAAAAACAAAGGACGTTTCTCAATTCTAAAGTACGTGAGTCCAGACTTCTTAGGCGCACACGGGAGTCCGAACTTCCCAAAAATGCAAGAACGCAGCACGATCATTTTACAATAGACCCTGCGCACAAGAAAATGCTAACTTCCTGTTTTAAGACCGGATGTAGGGTTGTACATTTCCGGTAGCTTTATTTGGCAGTCAATTGCTACTGCAAAGGTGAACTCAAAAATCATGTCCAAAATACGAAAACGGAAAGATTACATTAAGTTACAAAGAGCAGAGGGTGGTAACACTCACCATTGCTGTGTCATAAAAAAAATCAAATGATCAATTTTGATGTTTGAAAAGCGTAGATCGATTGTTTGTTTACATCACTCAACCCAAGCAGAACTACATTACTGCATGCAGAAGACACATTGTCCACATTCAGAAGCACATCTCTCTATAGTGACAGTTCTTATGATTTAAACAGGCAAATGTCCAGCATTCAAACTACAGGTGAACAATAGTCAAAGACAGATGTTTCCCCATTATGTTGATGTCAGTACACACCTACACAGCATGTCAACAAACCGTGAAAAAAAGCCACAGGATATAAAAAAAAATACATGATTGATTGCAGGTAAGGGTCTGTATATATTAGTATTTACGAAGAGTATGTTGTGACTTATTACTTACAATTACAGTGGTCCCTCGCTATAACGCGGTTCACCTTTTGCAGCGTCGCTGTTTCGCGGATTCTTTTAGTGCAATTTTGCATGCTTTTTTTCTTTTAAAGCACATTGTGTTCTGCATCCCGATCACTTTTTTTTTTTTTTACGAAGGTTTGAGCTTTGAGAGTTTAAACAAGAGAGAAAAGTGTGAAACTGTTCATGCCTTTCTGAGAAAAGTGTATAAAGTGTGTAGTGATGGGTTTTACAGCCTTACATTTTAAAAAAAATTGTAAAATATAAAGCTGGCTACTTCGCAGATTTCACCTATCGCTGGTTATTTTTAGAACAACACCCGCGATAAACGAGGGAATTCTATATACAAATGCTGAGAAATTTCAATCCCTTCTCTCTTTTGCTCTGAGGCGCGAGGGAAAAATATAATAAGTCGATGAACATCATCTACAGATATATTCAGTAAATGCCCAAGACACCTTGAGAAATGTAAATCGCCGCTTGGCTTTTTTTGGAAAACCCGACCATAAACAAGATGCGAATATCACACCGGAAACGAAGTGCCCTACAGGAGTTTCCTCACCGGAAGTAGCATATGCTAAGGTGCACATAGTCTATTGGAACAGCAGCATACTTGATGACATCACCGTTCCGGAGTTTTTACTGCCATCCCCTCTTAATTTAACTGTGATTAATATTTACAATGGAAATTACACATTATGTTTTTGATCTTCTCTCTTTTTTTGTTTTTTAAAGATAATTTTCAAAAAGTATCTTAAGCACTCTGGCAAAATTCGCTTTTATGTATGATCTGTTCCATAATGTCTAAAGAGCTTCATGCAGTTAAGCACAATTACTGCATGTATGAAAACACAAGCTTAATCTCTCTATTAATAAAAATAGTATACATGTATGCCTGAATAATAAGAAAGAGGTGAGATGTTAGAACACTTTTATATTTATTTTAATAGACACTGGCCCTTACAATAGACAGCTGGGGTTTGGAAGAGAATTGAACAAATATTTAAAATATAATCGGATCATTTGGAGCAGCCGTCAGGATCTCCACGCATTAACATGTTGTTTTTGCTCTCAGTGAAAACGTTTCCTCTTGAATTTAAATATTTTTAATGTTATATTTAACTCAGAGTCAGCTGTTTAAAAAAAGAACAGAATATTTTACATCAGGCAGTATAACAGGTGAAATTTAAAGTACACTGACAGCTCTACAAGTAAGACTTCAGTATTAAATAAAACAGTCCAGTTATAAAGCTTAATCTGAGCCAAACTGATTTGCTCAGGAACAAATGAAACACTGAAAAAAAAAAAACAATAAAATTTTTAAATGATCTAATTGACTTGTATCATGTTTAACTTGAGTAGCGAAAGACCACAGGGGGGGGGTTTGAAAATGATGTCCGCTATTGTCGCAGATCCACAGCTTGTTTTTTGTCCATAAACTTTGCAGATGAGAAGAAGAGGCAGAGTTCTTCGTGAAAAGTGAAAAAGAATGGCTTAGTTTTCAGAAATCGACATTTATGAATGAACCCATAATAATTATCACATTTAAGACATTTTCAAGTTTATTTTCTTTTCTTTGAGATTCAAAAATAATATCATTTTTAGAAAATTCAAGTAAGTTTGGAATCTTTGGGAAAAGCCAGTAGTGCACATCGTCCCACGGGGCTTTACAGTATATACATTCGTAAAATAAAAGTTCTGTCGAATCAATATTCCCATTACAGAAAGAACAAGACTTATTATCAATAGGAAAACGATGCCTGAGAAATTCTTTGGAACGGTAAATGCCTGAGAGTATTTCATAATGGACCTCCTTAGCTTTTGGAGGAATGGGAAGTTTTAGGTAATTTGCTCTGATTTCTTTCTTTTGATCGCAGGAGAACGGTTGTGAAATGGAATTTGGATTTGATCTATATGGGGGAAAGCATTAGTGAATAATTCCTTAATTTTAGAGTTTTTTTAGACTTAACTCCACAGTGGCTGCAGCCAGGTGCTCTTGGTCGACAAAGGGTCATGGGTCATGTGACTTGAGGGTTTTGAACCACGTGCATCTCGGTGTAGCGTTTCGACATACCTTGGCTCAGCAAGACGTGGAAAGGTTAATTCTGAATAAGGTGTACCGAACAAAGTACATCTGCACAGCAAACATTAACTTTATCCATTTATTAGCGCTATACAAGTTTGACATACAAAAACTACATTAACGTTTAGAGTTACAGCCATCAGCTAGTTCCACGTTGAGCACATTATATATAAAAGAAAGTTACTTTAAGCACGTTTTACTGGCAGGTTTACCTTTTCGGAGGAATCTGTCAAATTCATGCAGCGCAGTGGTGTTGCTTTCTGTATTTGAGAATGACACGGTGGGGATGCGGATTGCCTCTGGACAAATGGAGACAAATTGTTACCAAACAGAAGTGTCTCTACCTCCATCTACATCCACTACAACACGACTCCGAATACCTTTAAAATTTGCTAGGAGCTCCTCTCTCTGATGGTGGTCAATGACGAGCGATTTGTTATTCGTCTTTTCCCAGTGTGCGAGTTGAAGTCCGGCGTTAACGTCCAGTGAAAGAGTCCTGATAGCTGCTATTGTAAATAACAGCAGGACTGTAATAAGCAAGCTGCTAATAATTATCTTTAAAAACTTAAATATTCTTAACTTTGAACCCGACTCAGTCATTGTAATGGTTGTTGTGTTTACAGCAGAACTCGTCGACTGTGACTGCAGGCTGAATTTGCATTAGAGCCACCTGCAGGCAGACAAGGACAGTCACGCCTACATTATGTAGAGAGCAGTTTTTTAAGAGCTTATTTCAGTTTTAGTTAAATCACCATCACCATTCGGGTGGAGAAAGCTTGTGTTCAATCTCCCTCACGACGTGCAGGTTTTTAGTAGTAAAATAATTGCCAAAATACAAAGCAAACACTTTATTGAAATACATTTTTCTCTGCGACCTGCGGGGGGGGGGGCTAGGAGGAGGAGTTGGCTGTCCGACTGCGGTCTGGAGTGTGGGGCCTTCCTGCTGCTGCGGAGTCGGGGCGGTCTGCCTCCCCCCACCGCAGGGAAAAGGGTAACACCACCTGGGTCTGGGTGCAGTTCCCCCCCTCCAGGGGCAAGGGTACCTAGACCCGGGGCTTAGAGTACGCTTGGGGAGTGTGATCGTGTGTACAGCGTCTCTTTATGTCTGTCTCCACGTTGGTTGAGTGTGGAGTAAGTGTATATGAGAGCATGAGGGTGGGAATGGATGTTTGTATATGTGTGTGCCTGTATTTCTGTGTCTATATGTCAGGTTGGGTGTCAGGCGCCACCTCTCTGGGGACATCTTAGGCCCTCCAAGGTATGGAGGCCTATCTCCCCCTACCACCACTTCCCCTGCCAGTGGCGGACTCCCTCAGACATCGGTGCGTTGGTGGTTCTTTGTGTCCGGGGATGGGCGTCCAGGTACACACCGGCTCACTCCTTGGCGGCCGCTTATCGGGGCCTGGAGCCTGGGGCTCGCTCGGGCCCCTTCGGAGGTGGGGTGCCCCCGGCCTCTCGGCCTGGGGCTCGGTCACTCAGGCACGGCTGGCTGCCGGCGGAGCTCACGGGCGCGTCACTGCAACTCCCCCTGGCTTCTGCTCCGCGGCTGCTGAGTGAGCCCTCATCTGGGACTCTCCTCAGCTCTTTCTGGGACAGTGGCGCGGCTGCCCCTCTGTTGGTCTTCCTTGGTCTCTTGTGTTCTGCGGGCCTCTGGATGTCTGGAGTTTTGATCTCCTCCATACCTGCTTCATGCCCTGGAGGACGGGGCTGTGGCCCCCCCACACCCTCTAGCAGATCATTACATGAAGGAACCTTTTAAAAAAAACAAGCGCGTCCATGCTCACAGGTGTACACACGGGTGATCACACCCACAAACTACACCCTTTTTGGCTCCTACCTCAAAGCACACTGTGTTCTGTTGATCTTATGTGCTGCACAATAATGTTTAATATTTAGTATTTACTGTCATATTCCCATATATCATTGTGATGTTGTTTATTCTATTACTCTTGTTCTCTTCTGCTTGTTTTCTTTTTTCTTTCTCAGCAGGTGACCCAGGTGATTGATATATGCATTTTTTTTCTTTTTTTTCTTCTTTTTTTTCTTTTTCTGCTCATTCTGTTGGTTTTTGTCTTTTGCCCTTCTTCCCCGTCCCTCTTCTCAGCTGTTTCTCTTTCCCTCTTTCTTTCTCCCCTTCTTTCCCCCAGTCAAGTCTGTCCCGTATTCAGCAAGTGAAAATAAAATAAACAATAAAAGGTGAGTCAAATGGACCATTACGGCAAGGCTGGGATGGTCAATTTGGTAAAGTAAATCCGTTGGGCATCTTTCTTTGCCTTTAGACAATAATTCTGATGGCAAAAGAGCCAAACGGGACAGGCAAAAAAATAAAAAATAAAAAATACATTTTTAACATTTAAAAAAATGCATGTAAGTACGTGACAAATTCTTTGAAAAGGCAATATTACAATTAGGTTTAAGAAAATGGACAATTTTAAAATTAGTCCAGCATCACTTCTATAGTGACAAGACCACAATGGCAAAATAATCACATAGAAAACCACATTCTGTTTAACTAATAATAATGATTATTACTATTATTATTAGTAATATTATTGTTTCTACAGATCTTCCTCCACTTCCAACTGCTCACACAAACCTGAATCAGGAGACATCAACAAATAAGGATCACATTTTGCCTCATCCCAGACCATCAATCACTACTACAATTACTGACAACTTCTGTGCTACAGAAGTTGAATCAGAATCAGAATCAGAAAGGGTTTTATTGCCAAATGTTGAGCAGGTTTACAACATTAGGAAATTGCTGCGGTGCTTCAGTGCAAACATACTGTCATAAATTACGCTTAACATCTGCCAGAAAATGCTGAGGATTTTCTATGAGTCTGTTGTGGCCAGTGCGATCCTCTATGCTGTTGCATGCTGGGGGAGCAGGCTGAGGGTCGCAGATGCCAACAGACTTAATAAACTAATCCGTAAGGCTAGCAATGTTGTGGGGATGGAGCTGGACTCCCTCAAGGTGGTGTCGGAGAGGCGGATGCTGTCCAAGATAAAGACAATGTTGGATAACACCTCCCACCCACTCCATGACATGCTGGTCAGTCACAGGCGCACGTTCAGTGAGAGACTGAGATTACCGAAAAGCACCACTGAACGACACAGGAAATCATTCCTGCCTGTGGCCATCTCCCTGTACAACGCATCCACTTAACACACTGTTTGCTGCTACAACTACACATGTTTCTTTTCCAACTATTTATTTATGAGTGACTTATGTATGTATGTATGTATATATATGTATATATTGTACTATTCTTAGTTAGTGTATTGTCTGTCTTGTCTTAATGTTGGTTTAAAATGGAGCACTGTAACAAAAAATAATTTCCCCCAGGGATCAATAAAGTATTCTGATTCTGATTCTGATGATTCTGATTAAATAGACATGAAAATAAAAATAAGAATAAGAATTAAAAGTGCTAAGTAGATAGATATATACATGAGTGCAGGTGGTGATCAGTGCCAAACATGGAATGATGCAGTGAACACAGCGTAGGGTCATGTGTTAGTGGTGGGAACAGTCATACGGTTATTGTTCATGTGTCCAACAGCAGAGGGGAAGAAACTGTTCTTATGGCGAGAGGTTCTGGTGCGAATGGACCGGAGCCTCCTGCCTGAGGGGAGCAGGTCAAACAGACTGTGTCCAGGGTGTGAAGGGTCAGCTGTGATCAGAGTGCACGCCCCAGTGTCCTGGAGGTGTACAGGTCCTGCAGAGATGGGAGTCTGCAGCCAATCACCTTCTCAGCAGAGCGCACAACACGCTGCAGTCTCTGTTTGTCCCTGATAGTGGCTCCAGCGTACCACACGGTGATGGAGGAGGTGAGGATGGACTCGATGATTGCAGTGTAGAATTGCATCATCGTCCGTGTTGGCAGGTTGAATTTCTTCAGCTGCCTCAGGAAGTACATCCTCTGCTGGGCTTTCTTAATGATGGAGGTGATGGTGGGCTCCCACTTCAGGTCCTGGGTGATGGTGGTACCCAGGAAGCGGAATGAGTCCACAGAGGTGATGGGGGTGTCAGTCAGGATGATGGGGGGGAGTGGGGCTGTGTGCTTCCTGAAGTCCACAATAATCTCCACTGTCTTCTGGGCATTCAGCACCAGGTTGTTGTGGCTGCACCAGGACACCAGACGTTCAACCTTGGTTGGTGGGCTATATGCCAAACCTGACGCTCCAGGTTCTTTTTGTACCTGTGCCAATGGCATCGCATGGATCCAAAACTGCCCAGCTACTTTAGTCTTTCAAGACTGTTGTAACTGCTGTGACAGGCCGTAGAGACTCTTCTATATTTGGATTTACAAACAATCCCTGGCTTTATGGAAAAATACTGTCTTTGCATTTCCTTCTGTAACACTGATAGTGTAGAATTTATACTTGCAGTTTAAATTCATTCTTGTGATCTCCACATTGTATTTACTTACATTATTTATAAACATTACGCAACATCTAATCCAACTGGCATTACAATTATAACGGATCTGATTCTAAAAAGAATGTGCACATTTATAACATCCAGAAACATCTTTGTAATACATCATTTTCCATCACAAAGTGCAGTTCTGTGCAACAGTTTAAGGCAGGTGAGAGAAAAAATGTTGTAAACAAAGAATGCTTTCAAAAATGGAAGTGTTAATCATTTATTTTCATCAATCAACAAAATGCAGTGAATGAACAAAAGAGAAATCTAAATCAAATCAAGATTTGGATTGACCCCCCTTTGCCTTCAAAGCAGCATCAATTCTTCTAGGTACACATGCACACAGTTTTTAAAGGAACTCAGCTGGTAGGTTGTTCCAAACAGCTTCGAGAACTAACCACAGATCTTCTGCGGATATAGGCTTCTTCACATCCTTCTGTCTCTTCATTTAATCCCAGACACACTTGATGATGTTGAGATCAGGGCTCTGTGGGGGCCAAACCATCACATCCAGTACTTCTTGCTCTTCTTCATGCTGAAGATAGTTCTTAATGACTTTGGCTGTATATTTGGGGTTGTTGTCCTGCTGCAGAATACATTTGGGGCCAATAAACAATCATTTATATTTGTGAAAGCATTCTTTGTTTACAGCATTTTTTTTCTCACCTGCCTAAAACTTTTGGACAGCACTGTATTTAGGAAAAAAGGCTGTATAAAAGGAGACACAAATGAAATTTGCTAGTGACGGAATCAGTCAGTCAGACGGGGTTTCAGCTTGTTTTTATGGGTCAGTATAATGTTATGCCACATTTGGACATTTGTTTTGATCATTTAAGCACAAATTCATGTCCTTCATCTGAATTTTATTGTTTTGAGGTTTGGCCTTCGGAGTCTAACCCTTGTGTGACCTAATCCAGGTTTGGCAACATATGAAATAAAATATTATTAATTATAATTATTATAATTAGATTATTCATTTGAGGATGCTAACTATGAAGCAAGACCCACCGTTTCTGTGTAGAAAATATTAAAAAGTAATTGGTTTTGGTTGCTGGAAACGTGTATACCTTTGTAAAAATGAATGAAATTTTAATAAGATATGTGAAACACAAAGGAGTGACTTTGGGTTTCACTTTGGGTTGACTTTTAAGTCAGAACAAATATTTTAGTTGAACAGAATAAGAAAAACTACAACAGAGTACATTCTGTTGGCTCATCAATAAAACAAAATCAAAGCTTTT